AATTGAAACAAAATATCTCGTTTTGACTACATTTAAGGAGTGAATAAGGCGTCATAAGTACCTCGTATGTGTCTGTTGGCGTCTAGACGACAGTGAATCTTACCTTAGAATGACGTTGTGGTGTCTCTCAACCTGAAAGCTAGCTTTTTCTGAAATATATTAAAAGGGTTAATTGTACGGTTGGTCACATTAATGATTAGTTAAACAGTTTAAGTTTGGTCATTCTCCGTTACTTTCCGTTAGTCTCCGTCAAATGCATCAATTTTTTTGCTGACGTGGCTAACAGAAATGTACAATCACTCAATTTTAATAAAATAAAAAAAACTTAAAACCAACCCTCCACATCATTAAACCCAACCCATGACCCGATCTTGACCTAACCTACCTAAAAAACCCAATCAACCATTCCCAATCTCCAATGCATCCCTATCTCTAACCTCCTCATCTTCTTCATCGCCATTGTCGTCAATCTTCCCTTCCCGATCCTCCTCCCCGATTCCCAAACTTTCGTCGCTCGCCAACCAGTATATTCTACCTTTCCACCCGCCCCCCTGCGATTACCAACTACAAAAGCTGTATCCAAGAGGCGGCGCCAGCGTAGGATTGATCGATCTCGATCTGTTCTCCCAGCAATGGAGGCGCAAGCTTGTGCAGCCGCCGTAAAGATTCGTCAAGCTCCTCTGTATCAAGCACAGCTTGGTGCCTCTCCTCTCTCTGCAAGTCCCCCGTGTTCCTCCCTTTCACCACTGCCGCCGTCAACATCAACTCGACCCCACCACTCCCTGAAGCTATCTTCTCCATCATCTCCTCGTTGGGTTCCTCTCCCGTCGCCACGAAATACTTCCTCCTTAGATCCTTCTTGCAATCGGACATGATCTCTCTGAAAAAGAAAGACTCGTTCATCGTCTCTCTGAATTTCACCCTCAGGCCGTTGGTGACGGAGACCCTAGTTTTATCGATGGGACAAAGCAAGTGTTACCGGGAAGGGAACTAGCACAAGAAGCAAGAATTAACACGGAGAGACAAAAGGCATCTTGATTGCTTTTTGTTTACCCTGTATTTTACCAGATCCAAGGATTGAACGGAATAGCAAGCAAAACCTTTTTTGCTGGGTTTTTGTGAAGTCCCTTCTCCAGGAGCCCTGAAAAACGCCATAACTAACCACCATTAGAGAGGGAATTAAAAACTCATCATCAAGAATAATTCTTTTTGCGTATGACATCACCACTGCTTTTGGTTTCAGAAGATAATCCAGATATTTGGTGTGGGAACAGAGAAATCGAATCCAAAAACAAACCAAAGAGGCAAATGGGTATTTCGTTCTTTAAAGATTGAGATTGATCTCTCCTCTGCTGGCGCCACCAGATATTAGAGAGGGAATTAAAAACTCATCATCAAGAATAATTCTTTTTGCGTATGACATCACCACTGCTTTTGGTTTCAGAAGATAATCCAGATATTTGGTGTGGGAACAGAGAAATCGAATCCAAAAACAAACCAAAGAGGCAAATGGGTATTTCGTTCTTTAAAGATTGAGATTGATCTCTCCTCTGCTGGCGCCACGCCACCTCTTGGATACAGGTTTTGCAGTTGGTAATCGCAGGGGTGGAAAAAGAGACAGACGGGTTGGCAAGTGACAGAAGTTTGGAATTTGGGGGAGGATCGGGAAGGGAAGATTGACGGCGACGAAGAAGATGAGGACGTTGGAAGCCGTCGTCGGGAATGGAGAGTGAAGGGTTCGAGATAAGGATGCATTGGAGATTGGGAATGGTTGATTGGTTTTTTTAGGTAGGTTAGGTCAAGATCGGGTCACGGGTTGGGTTTAAGGACGTGGTGGGTCCAGTGATGTGGTAGGTTAATTTTTAAGTTTTTCTTATTAATTAAAATTTGGTGATTGTACATTTCTGTTAGCCACGTCAACAAAAAATTGACGCCGTTAACGAAGACTAACGTAAAGTAACGGAGAGTGATCAAACTTGAACTGTTTAACTAATTGTAGTGACGATGAATGAAATTAAATATTTGTAGTGACTAACGTGAACGTTTTTTAATCTCTGTGGCCATCTTTGCAATTAATCCTACATTAAAATATATCATTATTGCTGCACCACGATCATTATGTTTAGAAAGGTGAAGACAACTCAACATCGCCAATTAACTTATGCAAGTGATGATTTCTATAAAATTTTTTTTTATGAAAGTGATGATATCGACAGTGATCATTCCATATAAGGAAAAAGGTTAATAATTAACCACATGCTTTTGTATTCATTTATATAATTAACCACGTGAGTTATGAAAAATAATAATATTAACAACGTGATCCTGATCCTGGATTCACTAATTAAAATATGGCGCGACGCGGAGAGTGTATGATGGGAATCTTTTTCTTCTCCCCGTAAGTAGATATTGATAAATAAATAGGACCCCGATAAATTTTGTATATAATATATAAAAAAAATCACTTAGTTGTGTATATGGTTCTCAACAATTGTGACTACTGATTAGGCACGAGCTTAACCTCGTTGGCACGAGGGAGAAGGAAAACACCTACTAATTTTAGGTACGCAGAAGCTGTGAATTGTCTTTGTCCATAGGTGTCTAGGCAATATTCAGTAGTACCTTACAATGACGTCGTGGGGAGGAGTTAAGAGTGCTAACTCCTACCATGCTAACCATTATAATCACCATTGATTAGTTTGAAGTTAAATCTAATGGTGGAGATAATGAGGGGTTTATTTGGTATACCTTTAAATTAATTTAATAATTAAAAATAAATAAAGGGCCTGAGTTCGGAGCAGGATAGATAGGCGGTAGGGCTGGGCATGCGGGCGGATCATCCGCGGGTTTGGGCCGACCCACCCGCATTTGACCCGAATTTTGTTAAGTGGATGGGTCTGTGGGTGGGTGACGGGTTGCGCTGGGAGCCATCCGCAGGGTGGTGGGTGGGTTGTGGGTGAGTGTGCGGGTGACCCGCTCAACCCAACAGCAAAAAGATTAAAGTCGTTGGCGCTAGAGAGAGGAGAGTGGAGACGTTAGATATAAATTCGGACTACTCCTGGAATTCTTCCTTTTACTTTTTCCTCTTATTCTTGTGCCTAGATCACCGCTCTTTCCTTTGTGGAATTATTTTCCTTAGTTACTTGCACCTAATAATCGTCTCAATCTGTAGAAAACTCTTTCATAATAGAAATTCTATCCAATTTAAGAACTAATTTGACATTTTTCGTCCTATTTCAACTTCTTGTTTTCCTCGATGATTCTCTTCACCTATTATCATGTCAAGTTGACTCCTTTATATATATACATTGTGATGTGGGTGAACCCACAAACCCACTCGCATCATCCACCATCCGCCCGACCCAACCCGAGACTAAATGTGGGTGGGTGGTGGGTTAAAAATTATCAATCCGTTTAAGCGCGGGTGGGTGCATTTTATGGTCAAAATCCACCCGACCCACCCAATGCCCACCCCTAGTAGGCGGAGGTGATGGATATGGAGGTTCGGTCGGCCGGAGATGTGGATCCTTCAGGGAGAGAGAAGAAGACGGTTTCGTTGAATGAGAGAGTGGGAGAGAGAAAGAGAGTGGGAGATTGCGGCAACTGATGGAATGGGGTATAAAATAACTATTTGTATTAGGGTTTTAGTGAGTATTGACTAATTTATCCTTCATTTAATGCCGGCCCTAGACTTATTTTTAATCTAATGGTTGTAAGCTTACTTAGCACGGTGCCAACCCCGTTCTTGACGTCGTGGTGTCTCTCCTCTCTTTCTTTGTCTCTCGATTTGCTACTGGGTTAGAGATAAGTCTAGATTGTTCTCTCTTTTCCTTTTTCGATCCCAAATTCTGCTGAACATGTCAAGTTTAGTAGCAAGATACCTCTTCTGGCCCGTCAACCTTTTCCACATATAATGAAAGCATTTAAACGCTGCAATAATGTTATCCGTTATCACCCGTCCTAGTACAATAGCACTATGAGTCGGAGAGATAACCTTGTCTAGGAACAGTTTTAATATCTTTGGCAACACTTTCGCAACTAGCTAGCTTATATACCACATTGCACAAATTAATGGGGCGATATTCCTTTGGAGAAGTAGGCGCTTTAATATTTGGTGTAAGCAAATAAATAGGCCCCGCATAAATTTTGTATTATACAAATAAATTAGTCAATTGTGCATATGGTTCTCAACAAGTTTGCCTAAGCGCTAGCTTAAGCTCGTTAGGCATGATATGGAAGGAAAACGCCTCGTTCCGAGTATGTTGTCTTTGTCCATCGACATCCAGAAAACATTGAGTCGTACCTTAAATTGACGCTGTGGTGCGTCTCCCCTCTCTCTCTCTCTCTCTCGATCTGTCACCGGGTTAGAGAGAAATTGAGACCATCCTCCCTTTTCTTATTCACTTTCAAATCGGGAGAGTGGATAGGTTAAAATCGTGCTCCACCATTAATTCAGCTACTTATTCTTCCTTCTTCATTTCTCCATACTATATTTTTATACTTTACCATGTGTTGTTGACGACGGTTTAGAAACGGGATGCTGGCGAGATGCTTTTGGTTTCATCAACTTATGATTCTAGATGATTGCGAGATATTTATTTTATTTTATTTTAGCTTCCAGCTCTCATATGTATCTGGGCGAGCTAGATGCTAGGCAGATCCCACCATCTGCTTTATGCCTAAGGCTTTCTGAAACGTTGATTGTGCATCCAATAACTAAGTAACTATCTGGGATGAGAAGCTGGATATCACACTAGCTAATCATAAACCCACCTGGCCAGGCCAGGCCACCAGCTCAACATTAGTTAGTAATTAATTAACGGGGAAGTTGGGAGAGATGGCCAGAGGTCGAAGCTATAAATAGGGCTCGCCAAAGCACGGGTTCCATTCCATACCACACAGACATTAATACATCACAAAACTAGCTAGCAGTTAATAAAAAAAAAAAATATTACTAGTTTGGTCGAGAAAGCATTAACCAGAAAATGTCTCGGTTCGTGATGGAGTCCAACAATCTATGGCTGATGGCCATCACCGACGGCACGATCAGGGTGATGGAGGGCGCGTACTCGCCGGATCTCAACACCCACAACGTCCCCAGAAATCCCTCCGACTGGAAGCAAGCGGCCCGGGTCGGGAGCAACAAGTACTGCACCCACCGGGAGCTGGAAGTGTTCGGCGTGGCGTTCACCGGCCGGAAGGTGGAGGAGCTGAGGAGCGGCATCGTCGGGCAGAGGATGGTCAACAGAGAAGGGTTCATGGTGGGGTGGCGCAACCCTGGCGGCGGGAGCACCTACCTCAGGCCCAACAGCGTCCTGCTCCGCCTCAACGACCTCTACCAGTGGTCCAAGCACGGTGTCCAGGTCACCATCCCAGTGGAGACCGCGTGGGACCGGTTCGAGCTCACCACCGGGAAGCTCATGGTTGGGGCCGCTGGCGCAGGCTCAGCACAGGCGAAGAAGGAACTGGAGGAGAAGGAGAAGGAGAACCAGAGGCTTCAGGCAGAGAAGGACAAGGAGATCGAGGAGCTCAAGAAGCAGGCCAAGGAGAAGGAGGACGAGCAACTTGCCGCCAAGAAGGAGATCGAGGAGCTCAAGAAGCAGGCCAAGGAGAAGGAGGGAGAGCAGCTTGCAGCCAAGAAGGAGAACGAGGAGCTCAAGAAGCAGGCCAAGGAGAAGGAGGACGAGCAGCTTGCACTCAAGAAGGAGAACGAGGAGCTCAAGAAGCAGGCACAGGAGAAAGACGATCAGCTTGCCGCCAAGGATAAGCAGATCGCTAACCTCAGGAATGCTCTCAGTGCCTTCGTCTAATGAATATTCCTCCTGCTCCTGCTCCTGCTCCTGCATGCCTGTATTTTCTTACTCAACTATATATTAATCTCCTCCTCTGTTTTCTTTTGGATTCTTAATTTCCATGCATCTCTACGTATGTACGTGTGTCTTCTGTTGTTGTGTATTTAATTGGTATGTACTGATCATGATCAGTTGCCAATTACTTAATAAAATGTGGCTTTCTCTACTCGATCTTATGTGTGTATTGGATGCAATATCAAGTTTCAAGCCTTACAAACATAAGGCTGGCGTTCGGACCTTGTTTACCCCACAATCCGAACCAAAAATAGAAATTTGTATTACGTCTATTTTATAATACCACAATTCTGCAGTGAATATAGTTATTTATAGTTTGCAGTCTTATAAAGCCTAGGGGGTTTGTCAGTTTGTCAAATGTTATGAAGTTTAGTCGGGTGCTCAGTCTTCCATTGTTTAAGTGCAATCTTTTGTCAGTCAGCAGGCTCACTCAGGATTTCGATGTAGCCTTAACGTTTTACGCGATTTTTGTGTAGTCCACGACTTACACTCTAGCGAGACTATTGGGACGGGTCAACTTCGTGATGGGTTATATTACCTTCGACTGTATGGTGCTGAAGAGTCTCCGGCTTTGGTTGCTAGTAGCACCGAGGGACTGGTACGGTGGAGCTTTGGCATTTTCGGCTGGGTCATCCATCACAGCAGAAGACACCTTTATTATTTTGTTCAGTACAAAATAAATGCAGTAGTGAGACCTATGATTCTTCTATGCGTGCTAAACAGACACTGTTTTCATTTCCTATGCATTTGATAAAGACACTCATTGTTTTTAACTCATTCATGTGGATATTTGGGGCAGTTTCAAGGTCCCTACTCGGTACTCAGTCAGCTATTTTCTTACGATTGTTGATGATTATTTTATCTGAGTCACTTGGGTCTATCTTATGTCTTACAAATCAAATGTTGATGAGTATTTGAAAATGTTTATCAATATGGTTGCAACTCAATCTAATCAGCAGGTGGCACAGATACAGGCTAATAATGGGTTGGAGTTTCAGACGAGTGGTCTTCGTGAGTTCTACAAGGATAAAGGCATTGTTATTCAAACTTCTTGTATGGATACCTCACAGCAGAATGGGGTTATAGAGCGGAAACACCGCCATCTACTTGAAACAGCTCGTGCACTTCGGTTTCGAGCGAACTTACCGTTGAGGTTTTGGGGGGATTGTGTCTCGACAGCCACTTACCTCATCAAATGTTTACCCTGCAAGATCCTGCAGGATCGTTCTCCATACGAAGTTCTCCTTCTGAAATCTCCATCATATGCCCATCTTCGGGTCCTGGGATGTTTGGCGTACGGCAAAGACACCCATAAACTAATTTCCAAGTTTGACGAACGTGGCAAGCGTACTGTGTTTATGGGATACCCAGCTTCTCAGAAGAGGTATCGTCTCTTCGACCTGACCTCTCGAACCTTCTATGTTTCTCGAGACGTCCACTTCATCGAGACCATCTGTCTGTTCCACGAGTCTACGTCGTCCTCCTCGCCATTGGCAACCACTCATCCACCGTCTCCTGTGGTGGATATTGAGGAGTCCTCACCCACGTTTCATGTGGTATTTTATTACACAGGATGGTGTGCCTGTTTCCTGACACACAAAGAAGCAATATGTGGTTGCACGATCTTCTGGCGAGGCTGAATACCGTGTCGTGGCTAGTACTGTCAGTGAATTCATATGGCTTCGTGCTCTGCTACGGGTTATGGGTGTTGTCAGCACCAATTCCACTGTTCTCCACTATGACAACCAGACATCTCTATGTATTGCTGCGTATACAGTGTTTCAAGAGCGTAGGAAGCATGTTGAGCTCCACTACTACTTCTTCCAGGATCATGCACTTTAGGCGAGATTCACCCTTAGAAGATTTCTACCGCAGTGCAGCTCGCTGATTTGTTCACTAAGGGTCTCGCTGGTGATTGTTTTCACTCTCTCTTATCCAAGCTTGGCATATGTAACCTGCATGCCTCAACTTGTGGGGGAGTGTAAAGATAGTTATTTATAGTTTCCATTCGTATAAAGCCTAGGGGGTTTAATTGTATTTTCCCCTCTTGGTCGTTGGTCGTGTATAGCCCTAGGAGAGTCGTTGATTAGGGTTATACATATGTAGTGTAACTGGATCGGCTGCAAGCTAACAATAACAAGCTGAGATAGCATAAATTCTCCGTGGAGTAAGCTCGTTCCACCAAATGAGATGAACCACGTAAATCTTGTGTTGTGTGTATGCGTATTGTTCTTAACAAATATTTCTAGCGGCAGCATCACTGCACCGGTGCCGTCACTATTTTCGGCCTGGTTCGAATAAAATGGTTGGGGTTGTGATCAATGTGTAGGTCTGGTCTAGCTAATAAATTAATAAAACCAGAAAAAATGTTAAAATCAAAATCAAAAGAAAAGGCACGCCTCTTCCTCTTCCACTCATTTATTCTTTTCGTGCACCTTTCGCTGTGAAGTGAGTAAACTGCTTCGTCACAGTACCCTATGGGTTTCGCCTATACCGCGTCACCAAAGGAATATCGCTCCATTAGTTTGTGCAATGTGGTATATAGGATGGTTATGAAAGTGTTGTCAAAGAGATTAAAACTGGTCATAGATAAGGTTATCTCCTCGACTCATAATGCTTTTGTACTAGGACAGATGATAATGAATAACATTATGGCAGCTGACTCGCTCAAAACTACACCACGAAGTACATCCTGAATAGAGCCCAAGTTTTTAAACTCTAGTCGGGTGTAGTATAGGGCAAGTATTTAATTATCAAACCCGGGCCGATCCATGTACCCCTACTTCAATCACTTAAGTTGTTATCTAGCAAAACAATTTTGGGTTTAAAACTATGAAAACTACAAACTAAACAAGCAAGGAAAGTAAATGTAGGAGAATTCTACTCAGGAGGACTTCACCCAAGTATTGCTCCCCCTAGTCTCATGCTAAGAAGCGACAAACAAAGCTCTAGTGTCAAGGACGTGTTCATACACCGTGAGGTGGGTGCAACTAGCTAGGGACAAACTCCCTTACTGATCAATGAAAGGAAATCAACAAATATAAGCTAGGAGAACTAACTCTCTTAATCGTTAGGTTAAGGATTGTGATTCAGAGCTAGGGAACCTAGCCCTCTTCACCGATCAACCAAGGAGATCCCTAACTCTCTTAGTTAGCTAATTGAGAATCGTTGCAAAAAGTTAGAAACCCAACTCACTTAACCTTTTGGCTAAGGGTGACAAGGATAGGCTAGGAAACCTAACCCTCTCGACTAGCCGACTAAGGATTGCAAACCAATCCCTTGGAACTTAATTCGGTCGGCAGAGAGACCAATCCCGGTGGAATCACGGCTCTACTACAATACTTGAGATTTTGGTCTTAAATCGACCTAAAGGAGGTTACCCAATTGGCTAAGAAGTCTAGCTTCCTATTGGACCAAAAGGGGATTTCCACCCTCTAAGTCAATTTTACCCAATATTGAGCTAAAGCTAGCAAACTCAATCATTAATGAATGATACCTCAAATATCATATAAAACACTCAATCAACACAATAGGTTCATGTTCTTACATCCTAACTCATAGAGAGACTAGGATTCACAATACCCAAGTGAGTAAGTAGGTTATTCCATAGCTAGACAAGAGAAAACAACAAAGGAGAATAAAGAACAATGAAGTGATGCCAATCTTTCCTCCTTGTTGCTTGAGACACCCTTGAGATGAAGAAATCTTCTATCCTCTAACTAGGAACAAGTCCAAAGCTCCTTCTTCCTCCTTTGATTTGCACTTTCTCACTCTAGAAGAAACCTTAACCTCTCACTAGAATCCTCTTTGTTCTGAAAAATGAAAACCTAACCTAAAATTGAGCTCCCCTTCTTCTTCATTTCAGCTATCTATTTATACTGAGATTGCGCCCAATTCACGGCCGTGAACACCTAAACGCGTCCGTGAACTCAGTGTCGTCTCCAAAACGCACCGCTTCACTCTCCAGGGTTCACGGTTTGCACTCAAAGTTCACGGTCTTAGAGCTTGTGAACTGCCTGGTAGTCAGTAACCTCTGGAACCCTCCTGGACACCTCGCTGTTCACGGTTTGTGGATCCAGACCGTGAACTCCAATGCCAGGCCGTGAACTGCAGCTGATTCTTGGAAGCCTGCGCTTCACTATCACGGGGACTTTTCTTCGGTTTTTTGCGCTTTTTTGACCTCCAATCGTCCCGAAAATAGTCCTCGACCCTTCCACACGTGCTAGGACCTCAAATGTATCAAAACAAGCACAACCTAGTGTGAAATATGTTGAGGAACGATGAAATGCAAAGTCAAACTATCAAGAAATGAGGGGCAAAATGTGTAACAATTTGATCCGAATCAGCAGCGTTGAGTGCTTTCATTCTATGCGGAAAAGGTCGACGGGCCATAAGAGGTGTCTTGCTACTAAACTTGATATGGCCAAAGCTTATGATCATGTGGCATGAATAAAACAAATGTAGAGTGCACAAGACTAGTCAAAAAATCAAGTCAACTGTCAAATCCAAACACAAGCACCTGTAATATTCGAGAAAATTTAATTTAATTAGTGGGTGTGGATTTCTATTTTTCAGGTTTAGATGGTTTGAACATGAGAATACCCAAATTGACTCGTGATAATTGTCTGTGCCTAACTGGGTGTAGGAGGGAGACACTGGGGGGATGGGGTGCGAGTGAGGAGAGAAGGGATCCGCTTATACACTTAGTGGGAGATGTGGCCAAACATGGAGAGATAGAATTGTAGAAAGAGAAGCTTCTTGAATTCTTAGTGTGAGAAAGGAAAAATCGATCCCTCACCCACCAGAGTAAATGCTCTATTTATAGGCTCCTCTCGGTGGGTGGGGATTTCAGACGACAAGACGTTTGGACAAGACACACAACTAGAATATCTTTAGGTCTACAAATGAGAAGTGACAACATGTCAGGACTACGATGTCGTCTT